GGAATGAAAACATCCACAATGGTCAACCAAGAAAAAGTTCAAAAGTCAACCATTAGCTGAAAATTGATGCTTACAGTTTCCTGAAATTCTCAAGAGCCAGGATTGGAACACTATCAGGAAAAAGGTTCAACAATCAACAGTGCTCCTAATAGTGAGATGCTCACTGAAGAGCTGCAGCCTAAATTTCACTTTAAACGCGGAGGAGGACTGCTCTCCAAGGGCACTGTGATCTTGCCTGACAATGTATGTCCCACCTGTCCCCACACTGTGGACATTCTGAAAAAGCTTTGTTCTGAAGTGTTAAAGAATCCCCCCTCTAGTCCTGGTTTTGCTCCATCGGTACTTTCACCTGTTTGGTCCCCTCTGATGAAGAAGTGAAGACAGCGGTGCATTCATGGCTTGCAGCACACAAAAAAGCAGTTTTTAATAAGGGAATGCAAACGCTTGTCGACACATGGACAAAGTGTACTGAAAAGCAAGGAGGTTATGTTGAAAAATGATGCATTTGTCTTTTCTAAAAGTTGATTAACCTATCCAATCTGTACATAGAGTTGATAGGGACAGGCAACTTAGACATTGGCTACCTAAAATGGGAGGGGATATAAAGGCATGAAGTAACTGGCTTACAAGTTTTCAAGAGGGAGTTTAGTTTCAGAGTGTGGGTGGGTGGCTGCGTGGATGATAAAATCCCCACTGAATAGTTTTCATTTTGTCTAATTCAGGTCTGGTGAAAGGAGATGGGGGTAACATTCTTATGTTTCAATTGTTATCATGACTAATTGCGACTGTCACAATTGTTAAGGTAGAAGTTTTGTAGTAACAAGGGGGGAGTGGTTAATCTTACAGTCCAGAAACAGAGGACCCTAGGACCATCAAGGGAGAAGAGCATGAGCGGAATGTGGGACCCCAGCCAGAGAAGCAGTGATACCAGATATTGAGGCAGAGATGGGGGGTTGGAGAGAGGGAGCAGCTGAGGATTCTAAATTCATGGGAAGAGAAAGGCTGTGTGCTGGTGGCCAGGAAGTAGGCTTGCAGAATGTGCCCTTTGGTTATTTAAATGATTATATATTCCTGAGTTTTTCTGTGTACATGCCCACTCCCCCCAAAAAACAGCCCAAAACAAAACAGAGGGAATAGAATCAAATACTGTTGAATGATGATGCACAGTGGAGACTGTAATCATTGCAATGAAACTATGAGTGTAAAACTGATGTTCCCTTATGTAAACTAATCACTCAATTCACAATAAATACTTAAAAAAATTTTTTTTAAGTTGATTAAAATAAATTCTACAGCCATGGTGCAGATAATTTTGACTCACCCTCGTATATTCCATATACAAATCTTTCAGCATTAGGCTTCATAAGGAAAAATAATTTCCAATTCTTTCTTAAGCATAGTAGATTTCAGCTAGAATTAAAGGCATGTTGTAAAACTCCTATAAAAACCCACAAGGGTAGTGTCCACTACCAGAGGCAAGTACCCCTAAGTAAGAGAACAGATGGTAACATAACTTTCAAAACCACTGCTTCAAGGTCCATTTTCCAAAACATACAAATAAGGAATTTCCAGGTCACACTTTAATATTTTAAAACAAGCCCAGCATGACTCAGGTTGCATTTGAGAAGCTTCTGTTTTGAAAAATTTCTAGGTTGAAACCACACTGTTTTCATGCCTTTTTCAGTGAACTTTTAAACATCTGTGCTTTATGTTTCAGAGCACAACATTCTATTTAAACTGAGGAGAAAACAAAACAAAATAAAACATTTTTTTGGCACTGGCCTGCCTCCGTTTTAGTCAACTCATAGTTTTGTTTTGTTAGAATCTACAAACATGCCAAGGAAATGACCAAGTGAATGAAAGGAATTAGAGAGGAGGAATGAGGTCTTGTGAAATCCTCGAGATAACATGAAAGATGAAGTATGTTGAACAGTACATGTGTTCAAAGTCAAGTAACTGTTCAGACAGAACATCTGCCGTTTATATGCCAAAACCTATCTGTGCCTTTCTTTTTCATCACCACATCTTTATTTATTTTATCAAGTATATAGTTGGTGTTGTTAAGTGCTGTCGAGTCAGTTCCAACCCATAGTGACCCTGCATAGGGTTTCTGAGGAGCAGCTGTTGAGTTTGAACCGGTGACCTTGTGGTTCAAACGGACTTTGCAGTCCAGCGCATTAATGCACAGCGTCACAGCAGGACTCCTAAGTACATAGTGGTTGGTTGGTTAGGTGCCGTGGAGTTGGTTCCGACTCAGAGCGACCCTATACAGGGATCCGTGAGGCTGTAAATCCCTATGGGAGCAGAAAGCTTCAGCTTTCTCCAGTGGAAGAGCTGGTAGTTTCGAACTGCTGACCTAAGGTTCGCAGCCTGATTCATAGCCACTACACTACCAGAGCTCCTTAAGTACATAGTTGTTGTTGTTGTTGTTAAGTGCCATCGAGTCAGTTCCGACCCACAGCGACCCTACATAGGGTTTCTGAGGCTGTAAATCTTTATGAGAGCAGAGCGCCTCATCTTTCTCCCACGGAGCGGCTGGTAGTTTCAAACTGCTGACCTTAAGGCTCACAGGCTGATTCGTAACCACTACGCTACCAGAGCTCCTTTTAAGTACATAGTATTGTTGTTAAGTGCCGTTGAGTCAATTCCGACCCATAGCGACCCTGTATAGGGTTTCCAAGGAGCTGCTATAGTGGGCACTCAATGAAAACTGGCTGAATGATGGAGGAAAGACATTAATTCTTCCGCACATTTTACAAGCTAATAATGACACCTACCTCACTGAGTTGTGGTGAGGATTTTACAGATAAATGATTTTTATTCTCATCTTTAAAAGGAACTGTACTGAGGTTCATGGAGTTCATATAAATTGAAGAGATGAGTTAGGTGGCCCTGATGGTTGGGTGAGCCTAACTTTCCAGCCCCTCCTCTCCCTGATTTCTACCGTTGTTTGCTGGGGCTTTGGAACCACCCCATGTTACAGAGCAGAAGTAGCCTGTGGCTGAGTCTGAAGGCCAGCCTCCCAGTTAGAAGCCCAGTGCTTAATCACTATGCCACAACAGCTCCTGTCCCTGAGTCCTACGAGCTAAGAAAATGTATTTAAAACTAAAAATAAGTTTCTTAAGTCTAAGGAAAAAAATTCTACCTGTCTATATTGATTTTTAAAATCCATGGGAAGATAGACTGAGTAAGCACTGTACTCCTAAAGGGAGGTCAACAGTCACACTACCCGCAAGTGTTAGAAACAAGCCCCAGATGGGTGTGGAACACGGTCTCTTCTTATCCCACTAAAATAAGCAATGCTTATTAAGAACTACTCTTTCTCCTGTCATTAAAAATCTAAACAAAATCTAGTTTCTTCAGAGAGTATTACAACTATAGTGCCTAGTTGGACCTACAGGTAACTTCTGCTATTGTAAGACAAGCAGACACTGCTAACTTATCAAGGCCAGCGGTTCACACCCACCAAGGGCTCCTCTGAAGTCAGAACCAACTCAGAGGCACTTAACAACATTCATCACTTTCTAGAAATAAGTCAAAGAAGTTGCCCTAGAATGTTGATTTAAAAACAACAACAAAAAAAACACTTTAGGATTCCAAATCCGAAATGAAAACTATTTTTGGTAACATTTTCACTACCTTCATTCACATTTGCAATTCAAACTCAGAAACCTTTATAATCTGTCTAATCCAATCATTCCAAAGTTAACAGATTAAATGTAGCTAAGCAACACCGGACAGGAATACTGCTGTTCTTAGAGCTGAGTCGGGGCCGACCCACAGTGACCCGGGAAGAGAGTTTCCGAGCAGCGGCCGGTGGGTCTGAACCGCCAACTTCATAGTTTGCAGTGCAGCGCAGCGCTGATCCCACAGCGCCACACCAGTAGAGGATGAATTCGAGTAATGTTAGTGTTGATAGCAGTTATTTTATGAAACTGTCCTCCTTCAAAAGGGCAAAGGGAGTGAAAGTACTTTTCAAATAACTGGTTCTCTTTTAAAGTGGAGGTCTTCAGCATAGCTAGTAGAAGACACACATTTAAGGAAAAGTTTAAAAAATCTTGTCAATTGTTCATTGTCAAATTTAAACAGAGAATGTAAAATAAACTCTGAAAATGAGTGTCTAGGAAAAAGAACCTACAGATATTCCTCCCAGTATGAGACTATTCAAACACTTAAACTATAAATCCAAAAACAGATGAAAGGGCTATCCAGTCAATATGAGTAAAAAGGAAGTCTAACACCGCAGTGTTCGTCAGCACAGAAACAGGAACACGCTTCATCTGAGAATTAGAGAAAATGTCTAAACCCTTCACAATCAGTACAGCATTGTAACAAATGGGCTTAATATCTATCTTAGGAGGGACTGTTCAAAAATTAAGTAACAATTCAGTAGTTGTAACAACAAACTAAAATTATGTATTTTATGCAAATTAAAAATGAATAAATAACAAGAAAACCCTAACCTTTTTTTTAGTTTAAAATAGTCTCCAGACTTCTTGTGTCCTTCCTCCCTAAGTTACAGTCAGTAGTTTCTGGATATCCTTTTGTTACATGGATTTCAGAAACGAAGAATCCCCCAAGAACAGCTCCCAGCCTAGCCCTCCACCACTACCAGTTAAAACAAAACAAACCCCTCACAGAAACATGTTCTAATCAACCACAACGAACTATTTTATCAACGAATTTGAAAGATCAATTGTTTTCAGTAACTCTGGTGATGATACATTTCTTTAAAGATCTAACCACACTGCAGGGTTTAGGGAGGAGTTAAGACAACTTGGACAATTTGTAGAGAAATGGGAAGAAGAGGTGAAGTTTTGCACCATTTCAATCATGCATAAGCTGAGATGGTATTCATTCTTTCAAGTCTAGCCTGCTAGGGTTCTGGTGGAATCTGTCCTCTCAATGAATCTTCCTCGGGACTCTTCCATCCTGCAGAGTCCCGCTGCAGTCCCCAGACGTCCGTCCTGACAATTAACCAACCACATCTTTGCACTCACCTCAGCTTGTCCTCCGGGAGCCCATTTAGTCTCAAACTGTCTGGCCGATCTCGTCTCCTCCTGTACAGGTCTGAATGGGAGAGCTCTTTCAGCTGTAATGCTGTCATACCTTCTCTACACATCTGTCACTAACACTTCAGCACATTTATGCCCAGCGGCGTGGCGGCCAGAGCTCAGAAAGGCAGGGGCCCTTGGTCGGGACCTCAGCACACCTGATCCAGAGTTAGAAACCTCCACGCAGGCCGCTGGAGCACAGCTTCCTGTTTCTCGGCTGGTACACACCCTCATCAGTAAGGCATGACTTGCCTTATCTCTGGGCCCTGCACCTTGGAGGGGAGGGGGGCCCAGTGATCGAAACGGCCAATTGTTCACATATTCACTAATAAAACAAATTTGAGAGTTCGCAATCATCAGACCAATCCCTCTTATAACCCTTTGCAGCCTCATTCTGAATTTAAATCAGACTAAAAAGGTCGAGTAAAATGTAATGACTAAAAAGGGTCCTGCCCTGTTTGCTTTGCCAGGAAATCCATTAACCCTTCACAGTCAGCTGTCAGTTTACAGACGTGCCTGCTCATCCTGAGCTCTTGGGGACACTGTCCTTAAAAAGAAAAAAAAAGAGAAAGAAAAACAGGTAGGATTCTAAAGAGAAGGGGTCCAATTTATCCCTCTCACTACTTGAAACCCTCTTTAGAAGGGGAGAGACTTTAATCCCCTCCCCTCAATTATAGGTTACTCAAATTCATAACTCAAAAGGCAGTAAGTAGTTTCTTTAATCAGCCTCTACTCAATGATATTCAAATATGTGAACTACTCATTTTAAATAACCCACTCTCATACAGTGTGCCACCTCAGTTTAATAAGCATTGTCTGCCTAGAGGACTCCTGGTGTGGTGCTGTAGAATGAGCCTCAAGGTCAGAAGTTCAAATCCACCAGCTGCTCCTCAGAAACCCTATACAGAGTCGCTATGAACTGGAATTGACTCAACAGGACTTTACAACAACATCTGCCTGGAAGTGTTATGGGTAGCTGTGCAGCTCTTGTAATATTTGTGTGTTTAATCTTAGACAGTGACAAAATTATGAAAGTTTTTTGTAGTTATTATTGTAGCACTTTTGGTGTGTGGGGAGGGAAAGATGCTTGCAAGTAGAAAGGGGGCTTCTAGATACTGGAGGGCAGATAATATGAGTCAAATCCTTTACATGTAGTGCCAAATAATGTCAGTACGACACACATGTGCGATCCATCCATCGAGATGACTTAAGCCCACTCAGCAATATAAACGTATTGTGAACAAAACTAGTACGACAAATGTTAGTACGACACACATGTGCGACCCGTCCATCAAGATGACTTAAGTCCACTCAGCATATATAAATGTACTGTGAACCAAACTAGATGTGTGGCAACTTCTTATCTGATAGTATGACTACCTGTTCTTTGGACAGTTTATACCCGCCTCTTTCTCGTCTAGGATTCTCTCAAGAACGAACCACAGAGACATGCTTTATGTACCAGTACCAAGAGTAGCTGTATCATAAAAATTGAGGCACGTCGGAGGGAAAAGAAAGTGTATTACCTAATCCCCTCTCACTCAGGACAGAAGGCCACCTAGCCCCCATTAGAACTATCATTTCTTATCAGGTGTTTAAATCCCACTAGAAAACAGATGAGAAATTCTTTGCCAATGAGTTTTTTATAGCTGTCTTCAAAAATACAACATATATTTCTTTTCTGAAGAAACATTTCCTAATTTTGTCACTACATTAAGTTTAATTAGTGAAGAAACATGTGCAAAAAAAATTTTCAAGTAACAGATGTATCTTTTTCTCAGGAGAATCTATAAGAAATTGGTACAACTGGCTGCCTCTGGGCTGAAGAAAGTTTTTCCATTTGACACCACTTTACAACAAATTACAATTCTGAAAGTCGAATGGACTGAGTATTCAAAAATAAATAGAAATGATTTAGAAATTATATATAGATATTTTTAATCTTAAAAAAAAAAAAAAAGCCCCAGGATTCTATGGCAACGTAAATACAGACAAGTTTAAAGTTCACAGCAACAGAAATATACAAAACCAAGATTCCTGAAGTCTCCATTTATGTGATTTTTGTCAAAGCAGGTCTTTAAGGTTTTCCCGTTGGTTTTAAAAAGAAGAGTATGAATAAAATACAAATCAATTGTACTCACTGCATAGAAACATCAACATTAAGTAAGAGCTAGTGCTATACAAACAATTGTAAACACGATAGGCTGACTTTTAAAAAGTGGTTTTCAAAGGTGAATACTGCATGCTCAGTTTTTGTTTGGTTTTTTAATGTTTTATTGTGAATTATGTGTTAGTTTACATGGGAGAACATTAGTTTTACATTCATCCTATTGTATACCCATGCTTGGTATTTAGGATAAGGAAACAGAGCTTGGTGACTATCAGAGGCTAACAAGACAGGAAACCCGTAAGTGTGTAGGATGAATCCTGCATCTGATGAGTGAGGACTCAAAGGATGTTTGAAAAAAAAAAAAACCAGTTCCCAAGCTATGTAACAAACAAGCAGGAACAATTCTTGCCCTCTGACTTTCAAAGGGGTTGGGCTGACAAGTAGGAATTTCGTTACATCCATGTTGACATTAAGTAAAATTAAATCCTAGACCTTTGGGGAGAGTTTTCTAACCACCATCTTTTCACTGAAAATACAGACACATGGACTGGAAGCAGGGTCCCTTCCTTCCGGTTCTCCAGGAGCCCTTGAGATGTGCACTGGAAACCTCAGCGGAAGTGAGGAAGTGTGTGGACGCGTGTACTAAGGGCACAAAGCCCCCCCACGCACCACTGAGGCCACTCCTGATGAAGCCAGACCAGGAACTGCTCCCCACCAAACAAAGCCTTGTCACCCCCAGCTGAGAAACAGGGCAGAGAGGGGGGGCTGGTGATAGGGTAAAGAGCTTAGTCTGTACTTTTTCCCCTTTATACATAATTTCCCGTAGAAATGGAGTTGTCAATTGTACCTGAATTCTCTGATGGGGCCTATTTAAAATGTGCTTTGAATGTCAAGCTGCCTTACTACACTCAGACACCACAGAGGGTGGATTCTATACGTACATTACCCCAGGGTTTTGAGTATAGGGACATTTTTCATTGTGGTACTCTTGAGACATCTCTGCAGGAGAGGGGAGTCCAGCCTTGTGTCCAATGCAGAATTTCTTCACGTTCATTCCCCACATGAGCTCTTCCCTACAGAATACCCTGGGCGTGGCATTCTGCCTCTTCTTGAACATTTCTACTAATGGGGAACTTACTACCTAAGACAACTCCTGGGCTGACCCTGCCATCAACCCACCCAACAGGCGGTTAAAGAAGAGGAGTTTGTAAGAACTGGTACGGCGGTTCCACTACAATGCAGATGCTCTGTGAACATAATAACTTTCTATTGGTTTTTGTCAATTTCTCCAACCTACTGGGTTTTCTTTGAAGCTGTCCCTCGACTCCCAACATAATTAAGCATCTATTCCAGCTTAATGTCATTACCATCACTGATAATAATTCTTCTAAAAGTTGTTGCTCTTGATCAAAATTACCAAACGCAAAACCCTATGAAGTCACAGAACAGGTCTTGTTGTTCCTGAGCTAACAGCTACCGCCACAGCTTTCCATTTTCTGTGGGTCACGAATCCTCTGTGAATCTGATGAAGGTAATAATGCCCAGAAAATGTAGCTGCTCCTCGGAAACCCTACACAGGGTCGCTATGGGTCAGAACTGACTCGATGGCACTTAACAACAACAAACAGTTTCAGTGCATGGACATTCTCTCTCAGAAGCCCCCAGGTGGACTCTATTAAGTCGATGAATTAAGCAGCAATTGTTGTTGGCTGCCTTCCTTCGGGTCAGTTCGGACTCCTGACAACCTTACAAGTAGGAGAGCACACTGTTGCCAAATCCGGCATCATCCTCACGGTGCTCGGCACATTTGAGTCCATCACTGCAGCTGCTGTGTTAGTCCATGTCACTGAGGGTCACACCAAACGTGATGTCTTCTGTTGGTGACATATCTAAAGTCAGCAAATCCAAGTCGTGCCATCTTCACACCTAAGGAGTATTCTGGTTGTCCTCCTCCTAAGAGTAATCTGTTGGTTCCCTGGTGGTAGACCCTGATTCATATGGGTCTCCTCTTCTTGGAAAACTTCATGACTACCTTCACTTTCAGCTCACAGCGACCCTGCATAGCAGGGGTGGGGAACAGTTTTTCAGCCGAGGGCCATCATTCGCAGGCCATACAAAATGATCAACTTAAAAAAATTAGTCTGCGATATTTGGTCAAACATTTAATGATCTTACCCCCAATGTTATGGCTGGAACTGCGGTGGCCTTGGCAGAACCAGACCAAATGATTTTGCGGGCCTCATAGGACCTGTGGGTCGAACGTTCCCCATGCCTGCTGTATAGGGTTTCTGAGGAATGGCTGATGAGTTTGAACCCTGCGGTTAGACCTGACGGTTCAAATTGACCTTGTGATTCAGTGCTTACCCTTAGCGCCAAACCAGGACTCCATTACTAAAGTGGAGGACTGTTTTACCTCATTTGTTCATTTAATAAATACTGACTTTGTGCCTTACACTAGGCTAGGCACTATTTTAAAACAGTTCCTTTTGTTTCCCCTTAATTTCTGTCAGACTCCTAATGAACCGATCTGCCACCTATTCTACTACCCTCTCATCTATTTCAAAGTGATGGTTTAAACTGTAAATTCATAATTTAGTGACCTTATGTAAAAACTCTCAATGGCTCCCCCACTACCTTTCGGATACAGTCCCAACCAGGTAAGCAAGCTAACCCAACCTGGTGTCAGCCAACGTCACTCACTTCTCCCAATCCCTCATCTCCACCCAACACTCCCACACTGTACTCCACGTGGCTCCAGGGCAGGCTGTACCTCCTCTCCCTCCCCCAAGGCTCCACACTAGATCACGTCTTCTAACAAGCCTTCCTGGACTATCTGTACCCACAATCCCGCTTTTATGTGCTCCCAGAGTTCCTGGTGTTTAGTTCTGACATAATAACCACACGATCGCATCTGTCACTCCCTTGTGAATAACAGCTCTTGGAGGGAATCAACACACGTCAGTCAAAAAAGTATTTCTACAAGACCTAAAATAGACAGAGACCTAAAATTTTTCTGATCAAACAAAAACATGCAGAAGTGGCGGTGGTGTAC